GAAATCGATCAACTCACCCTCGGCATGACGGTCCTTCATCAAAATCACATCATCCTTTTCGATCTCGGATGTTGTCTTGATTCCAACAAACCCACATCTGTTAAGAATTTCACCGATGAGGTCGGGATACCGGAGGTGTCCACTGACGGAATCGCTCAGATCGAGGTTCTGGATACCCTCAACCTCCTGGATATTCTGTAAGCCTGAGACTCCCATGGAGAGACTATGGGCCCGGTAGACGAATCCGAGAATCATATCGTTCTCTGAATAGACATTGAAGATCTTTCCAGAGACAACAGTACGAAGAGTACGCCAGTGAGGAGGGGCTGAGGGAGCCGGAGCGCCGATGATGACAACTGAATCAATGAGGCCAAAAGCGTGTCGCTCAGCAAGGGACTGCAAGCAGGCATGGATTGCTGTAGCGCCAAGGGAATATCCGACTAGGGTGACAGGCCTCTCGCCTTGGACTTTGTTGATCAGAGCGTCAGCAAGTAGCTGGCCTGCTTTTCGAGATCGGTTATGTGCATGGCCAAAAGGATTATCGATGTTGGATGCAGCAGCAAGTACCTGGATAGGCCAAAGCGCCGCAAGCAGGGTTGCAAAGGCAGTGCGTTTGATGATCTCGACCTTGAGCTTCTTCCAGGCAAACGATTCGACCATACTTCGTAGGGCATGTCCCAAGGCAATGAGAGACTTCATCTCATAGCGCAGAGCGAAGACTTCAGTGTCGTCACCAAGAATACGCCATGGCTTTGTCACGTCATCCTCATCGCGAAGCCAGCCGTTGATTCCAATTGTAACACGCAGTCGCCGTTCCTGTGCTTGTGCTTGGTCCTGTTCTGCATTAAAGACCTCTCCCCATTCGCCCCTGAGAGGAATAAAGCAGAAGTCCTCAACTTCCTTTGCGTACTTGTCCATCATTTCACCCTGCAATGTTAGTCGGGAATGGACAGGATTTCGAAAAGTGGCTTACAGTCATCTTTCCTCCATATGCACCAAATAAAGCGCCTACGAGAGCACCATTCATCCAGAAGATACCAAGAAAACTAGCAACACCTCCCAAACCCACGCCACCGAGGATACCACCAACAGCTCCAGCGACAAGAGGTGCAGCCAGACCACCAGTGACGCCGATCACAGCTGCACCGGCAACAGAAGCAAGCCCGACTTTCCAAAAACGACTGAATTTGTTGTCTTCTCGGCGCTTGGAGGCTTCGGCCTCGGCAGACATGACCTCCTGCTGCTTATCTTGGTCCTTGGAGGATTCGAGAAGAGTTTTGGCAATTTCCATTTCTTCCTTGATAAGGAAAGTCTGGGAAATCTCCAGAGAAGAAGCAAGATAGAGCGCAAGTGCTCGAGTGTGGGCGGAATACTTGCCCGTGGAAAGCAGAAGGAGCAGGATACATGATATGGCCTCTCTTCTGTCAGCAGCAGGGATCGTCTTCAGTCTTGTGGGGATAGGATGATATAGAGCCTGCAGAGAGGCAATATCCTCGGACTTATATATCTTGTTCTCCCCAAAGCTGATGAGATTCTCGCCTTCTTCGGGTGTATCGAGCTTCCTCTTTTCAGCCTCCTGTTGATGTTTGCGCCTTTCCTCCTGAATCTTGTGATCATCCTTGACACGAACAATCTCTTCCAGCTTGGGCATGAATTCTTTTTTCCACTCCTTCAAATGCTTTATAGCAGCTTTCTGGATACGTAGTGCCTGCGCCGATGGCTTGTTAGGCTGCTGCTGCTGAGCATTTCGATCAGAATCGTCATTCCTGGGTGTCGACGACCTGTCTTCGTCTCTTGGTGTAGAAGGTCCACTCTCATTTCGAGGGGTTGATAGGACAGGGCCAAGCTCATCGTCGGAAGCTTGAAGTTGATCACTCATGTAAGTAGTGATCTCATCAACGAGCTTGAGGAGGGCTTGGCGACGCGCGGGGTTGAGTGTGATGACGATCTGACGAGGATCTGAGCATGTTGGAGCCATTTTGACGATATCGACCCGAACGGAACTCTGGACGGGCTTGTTGCTAAACAGGCTGGTTATGAGCTGGGCAATTCGTTATATAGTACGCGTTGGCTACGGTGTCAATAAGTCATGGCCTGAGCACGGCCCGTGTATATGCAGGATCAAGGATTAAAAGCTCAGTTTCAGGCTGAAAGTCCTACTTGCTAGGCAGGCAGCGTTGTTGGTTGTGCAATACTGAAACATGCAGTCGTAGGCTCTAACCAGGCTCAGAACTGTACCACCGAAGCCTGATGTGAGGTGCAGACGGGTTGTCATTGGTGTGATGTAATCACTGAAGGAGTCGTAATATGCCTAGACCTTCGTCACGTGCGTACGGCCAAGAAGATACAGAAGTTCTGTCCTTATCAAAAAGAAAGAGACGGATGATATATCGCAGTGGACTGAAAACGAATGCGTTTTACGGAGTAGTAAATACTAATTGTCTTGGGAGTCTAGGAGTCCTAGCACTAGTAATGGGACTTGTAGATCTAACGTCATACATAGCACTATTTGGTCATATCTTGGTTATGAGATCAGTTGCATATCTCAGGGGTAGAACTTACAGGTCAGACAGAACGTGTTATTAGACCGCAGTGCTAAAATGATAATTGTGAAAAGCCAAATATTCCACTTGCGTCAACAAGTACATCTTTGCCCTTTTCGACGTCCAAGGCCAAAGGTATTGAGCTTTCTAACCACTCACTCCGAAGATGGTTGGAAATTGGGACTAGATCTACAATAAGGTTGAAAAGAAGCGACAAATTGGTGTGATTACGATGTGAACAATTATCCAACACTTTGAACCTTACCGTTGTGCTCGGTATATTACTCTGTATATGCGCATATACATACAAGAATTCCTGAAGTCTTTCAAAGCGTATAGGGTAGGCAAAATGGAAATACGAGCAGTGTAAGTATCAGCCAGAGGCTTTGAAGAGGACAAATAAACTAGAAAAGAGTCACCTAATGGGCATGTAGTTCTCCTTATCATGATATGGATCCATGATGCTATGATGAAACATCCCAATAGCGCCTCCTCGACTGGGACGCAACTCGCCTGTCCAGAACTAAGGGCTAGTAACTTACATAGGCCTTGTGATGAGATTACGATCATTTACAATTAATTCTATTAATGGGGTATATAAAGGTGAAGTTGATTAGGTAGGCCAGCAACTTGAAGAGCTTGAAAGGTCTTTATGAATCTGATAGGCAGAAATTACCTAAGTGTTAGTCTAGTTTAGCATTGTGCCATCCCTGATCCTCCAGACTCCTTGCATAAGATATTATTAAGAAAACTGAGGTATCCCGCGTTAGTTACGTCGCCAAATTTCAGTTGAGAGTGACAAGACTTACCTTCCATCGGTGCCCGCACGCCATACATTCGCAGAAAGTTGTCATAGGTTCATCAGCAGCTCGGGTCTGCGCCTGCGTGTAGCTGACCTGCTTCTTCTTACAACGACCACACTCCAGACTCTCGCTGATACTCTTCTCAGCCATCGGGACCTGGGCCTTCTTCATGTTCTCCTTTTCTAGTTCAAGCTCCTTCTTGCGTTGCTCCTCGCTCTTGAGCTCGTCGTCGGTCATGACAACAAATTTCTCGGCCGTGATCTCACCGGACAAGACGCTGCGCCCGAGTTCCCGATTGGACTTGTTCTTGAGGTTGGTGAAAAGTGACCGGATCTTCTTCTTGTAGTCGGGTGTTTCCCCTTTGAATTTGGTATACGCGGCATGCTCAACAGCGACGGCTCTAGTAATGACGTCGGTCTCGGTTGCCGTTGATCGATAGGCGAGGCCATTGTAGATGAGCCCAATGCATGAGTTTCGAACGCTAGAATCGGTGCGCTTGACGTTCACGTTGTCCGTCTCGTATTTTCGCTTCTCGATGTCGCCCTTGTATTTGGCCCCAGAGGCACCGGCTGATGATGGAGGAGGAGGAGCAGGAGATGACGCGGGCGCTGATGATGGAGCTGGGGCTGGAGATCCTGAGCCGACCTTTGCTCGTTGTAGCTTCGAGTGCTTTTCCTGTTCGACCAACTTCTTCCACTTGTTGACGAGTTCGGCGGCGGCACGGGCGATGTCCTTATTAGAATTTGACCTAAGTTTACCGACAAAAACACCGGCTCTTGTAGCCTATGACGAAGATCTCAGTATTAGCAAAGCCCATGTGGAATCAAGAGTGCAATATCCGATAGATCCGCTGAGGTCGCAAATTTGTAGAAAGAAAGAAATGCGAGAAATGCGACTATGCATTTGTGCAGACCAACCAAGACGTGTATATATTCAAAACGCGCGCCAAAAAGCGCTCTCTCTATCGCTTCCTGAACCGCGTACGTACCCGTAGCATCTCTTCAGTGGGAGAAGCATCCTTCTTCAGTGTCTCGAGCAACTTGATGGCGTTCTCGGGGGGCTCATTCGCAGCAACACATTTTGTCAGCGCCTTGATGCGCTGCCCAAGCTCGCGTTCGTCCATGGGCATTTTAGCGGGTTTGGAGGCGAAGGTTTGAAAGAGTTGATAAATTGAGGCGTGGTCTGTCGCAAACTTACGGATACCTCAACCAACATATGCCTGGTGGGTGGCACGTGAGCCCCTGGCTATTTCCTGTACCGGAGTTTACCCAGATCGTGGAGGTGGCTGAAACGGCCACGCTCTATATATATCACAAAATAAATAATAAATAAATAAGAGTTATCAATAAGCTTACTCTCCGATAAGTTGTTTTATCAAAGCTTCATAGCCCTGTGTAAGAATAGTAAAACTTTCACTACTTTGTTTCTATTGTCGCAGGATCAAAGTGCAGCGAATTCACTTTAAAGAGCAAGCATTGATAACACCAATCTGGGGTCTGATAAGCCAGCCCCGCTAAAAAATTTCCCAATCGCGTCCCTCAACCGTCCAACTTTGATTGAAACCTCCAATTCTTTATCCCGTTCCCTCTTTGACAGACACCAGATCAACCCTCATATAGTTGGCCGCAAGAGGACCTCAACGCAAAATCATACGATGGATGCACATGCGCTGCTTTCCTCCCAAGGATGGCGAGGCACCGGACACTCCCTGCATAAAACCGACGACTCAATTGGACTTGCGAAACCTCTGCTACTGAATCGCAAAGACAATACTCGCGGACTGGGCCAGAAGCAACATTTCACAAGCGACCAGTGGTGGATGAACGCATTTGATGAGCAACTCAAGGGTATTGATACATCCAAGAAGGGGAAAGTGGTCCAGACTGTCACGACTGGCAAGCTGAACGCCCTCGAGAAGAATCTCGGCAAATACTCCGTATACACGACCTTCGTACGAGGCGGATTCCTCGAAGGAACAATAGACAAGCTCACGATCAACGACTCGAGCACGGAGTCATCCGAAACTGAATCCAGTGATCAGCAAGAAGGCGACAAGTCTGATAAGGACAAGCCTCGGAAAGAGACCAAGGAGGAGAAGAAAGCCCAAAAGGAAGCAAAGAGGAAGCGAAAGGAAGCGCGGGCCGCGAGAAGGGCCGAGAAAGCAGCGCGCCGAGAGCTCAAGTCCAAGTCGAAAAAGTCTTCCAAATCCTCCAAGTCCTCCAAGTCCTCAGCAGAATCAAGCGACGCAGACGAGGAGAAAAAAAGACGGCGCGCAAAGAAAGAAGAGAAAAGGAGGCAAAGAGCTAAAGAGGCCGGGAAATAGAAGATAGAGGGACATGGAAAATCGGAGTTTGGAGGCATACAAAGCGAAAGCATATTCACGGAGTTGAGGTTAATGGAAATTTTGGATGATACCCCATAGATGTATATTTACGTCTGTTTCGGAATCTTCCCAGGCTTGTTGGAAAGGAGCCATGGTCTTTGGTTCCAGAAATCGTCCTTGATGATGTCCATGTGTTCCACCACTACACGAGCCTTGTTTCGGCTCTTCTTATCCTTCTTCTTCTGTGATTTGGATTGCTCAACAGGCTCTGCTTGAGAGTCGATAGTTTGCATGGCATTATGAGAGTCAGGGTCAACCAATTCGTACTGTTTAGTGTCAGTGCTGGTTGGCGGGGAAGTGTAGACCATACGTACGTCGCGGAAGATTACACTGCCCTTTCTGTATATCTCGGGCTCGTTGTTGTAGTTGATGGAAAAGCGGGAGAAGAGTATCTCGTTTTTGTCTGCTGCCAATGTACACTGATACAGTCAGCTTGTTCAAGTTCCGCAAGATGGCCACCTACCGCCAGAGTACTCTCAGCTTCCTTATTGTCAAGACCTCCAAGTTGAATCAAAGACCAGAAACAGGTGTTATAGAGGTTATTTATGTGACCTTGAGTTATGTTAGTCAGGGTCATCTGTATAGCTGTGAACCCTACAATCTGCTTGTCTCCAGCTCATGTAATCCCGGAGATTTTGAACACTAGGGTAGCACACTGCCCGTCCATCGAAGGATGGTAGTGGAGGAGATAACGGGCTGTCTGGGAAGTGAGTCGACCAGAAGTATACATAATTCGCAGTGAATGTCGAGACGACAGTGCTAACAAGTTTACTAGGAAATGGTAAGTTTTGGACGTAGCAGGGGATGGGAGAGTGAGCGTAAACGAACCTGGCTCTTCGATCAAACAAAGTGCATGCCTTGTGAAAGACGAAGCTGTTGGGGGTGTCAGTACTACAAAGCCTTGACATGGTTCGGCTTACGAACCTGTACTCATCACTGACGCCGTACGCAATGGTGATTTCTGGTAGCTCAGTTACGACGGCCTTGGCGGCTGTGTTCATAAGATCAAGGGCACGGCGATCATTTGGCTTCTCGAAGCCATACTTAGCACACATTCTATCAACTGTCAGAAGAGCCATTAAGAAGAAAATTCAACTGTACTTTGTGAAGCCTCTTCCATCAACTCGCACCACGATCCATGTATTGGGTAATAGCGGATCTGCCGTCTCAAAGTTACGGACATACTCAAATCTTTGATCATTAGATTAGCGATGATATAGGTACAAGCAATGCGACGACTCACTTGGAATTCGCCATTTTGCGAGGTCCAATGAGAATTTGACCGTTGAAGAAAGAATGATGGCCGCAATATTATGCGCTGGCTGTTTCTGGACTCTGGTGTTTGTGACTCAGTTTGATTTGTTTGGGAGTGTAATATGACATGGTGGAGAAGTGAATATTTTATGTACTTCTTGGGGTTACTCTAGAGAAATGTTAGAGAGAAAAGCAATAGGTAACAAATAGACAGAGTTACGCTCAATTTCAGGCCTAAGAGTTTTAACAATAGGGACAAAATTCTGAACTATTAACTAGGTGTATAAAAATCTTCATGATTCATTTATGCAAGTAGCTATGAGACGATGGATAACTTGGAGGCATTGTATCTATCTTCACCCGTTTCTTACGCCCCACAGTAACTTAGCAACTACTGGGCCCAAAGCTTCTCTCAAGCCTTTGAGCAGCAGACAACTGCCTACATCAAAGAGCAGAAAGCACATTCCCCTCGCCTACATCTGAGGACTGAATTCATACGGATCCATTTTTTAAAGAATAACCCTATAAAAAGACTTTCACTCGTCTTAACCCAAGTCAAAAGTGACCTTGAGGAACAAAGCATCAGCCACATTTCTATTTGCACACCTACCTAGGTCGTGTGGGCCTGCGCCTGTAGCCTTGCAGACCAAGCCCACCTCCAACAGCACGGCTGAAGCCAGTTTCTAGAGCTTGCACAAACTCTTTTGTCGATGGAACTCGAGCTCCTTACTCTAACTACTATTCTATGACGCCGACTTTCAGTATACCGCTATAATGAATCTCCTACTATCAGATGACTATCTTCTCCAAGATTACCCCGAGCACATCACAAATACGATCCGTTCAGGACATGCGACAACTCTACGTTTTAATCGGCAGGGCGATTACCTCGCTTCGGGCCGAGTCGATGGAACCGTGGTGATTTGGGACATGGATACGATGGGAGTCGCGAGGAAATTGAGGGGTCACAATAAGAGCATCACAGTCACGAGCTGGTCAAGGTGTGGACGGTATCTTCTCACGGCCTGCCACGGATGGAAAGCTATCCTTTGGGACCTTAAGGATGGAAAGCGTCTACGCGAGGTTCGTCTTCGCGCGCCTGCGTATATGGCTGAGCCTCACCCGTGGAACCAGTAAGGAAGCGCGATCATCTCCTGAGCTTGACTAACTTGAGTCAGCCTTAAATTTGTCGCCGCGCTATACGAAGAGCAGCCACTCCTAGTCGATATAACCGATCCTGTCGACGTGAAACGTATACTCCCATCAGCCGCGAAGCGACCGAGTACCGACGATGCAGCACTGCGCGAGAAGCAAGCCAAAGAAGATGCCAAACAAATGACAACTTCTGCGATCTGGAGTACAACTGGAGATCATGTGCTCGCTGGAACCAACAAAGGAAAGCTCAACATCATTGATGCGACGACATGCGAAATCATTTGGTCGGAGAAGATATGTTCGGGCGCCATTACTAACATGCGACTGACCGTATCAGGACGCGAGTTATTAGTTAATTGCCAAGACCGAATTATTCGAACTTTCCGAGTGCCAAATTTACTGGCCGAGAACCTCGACCTCGATACACTACAATTACCACTGGAGCACAAGTTCCAGGACGTTGTCAACAGGCTATCATGGAATCATGTCACATTCAGTGCGACTGGTGAATATGTAGCTGCCTCGACATATAACAACCACGAGCTGTACGTATGGGAGCGCAATCATGGCAGTCTGGTTTGCATGCTCAAGGATCCAAAAGAAGAACAAGGCGTGATAGAGTGGCATCCCACCCGCGCGCTCTTGGCTGCCTGCGGCCTGGAAACTGGTCGCATATACATATGGTCTGTTGTCAGTCCGCAAAAATGGTCGGCGCTGGCGCCTGACTTTGCTGAAGTGGAAGAGAACGTTGAGTACATCGAGCGGGAAGATGACTTCGATATCTATGCGCAAGAGGAGATACACCGACGACGACTAGATGCTGAAGATGAAGAGGTTGATGTCTTGACCCTGGATCCATCAAAAACCCTGGACGAGGGAGAAAGTTTCCGGATGCCAATCCTGTTCAATCTCGGGGAGAGCGACAGCGAGGACGAATTCATCGCAGTATCAACCGGTACCATGAGACGTAGGAGTCCTGGAGAGGGTCAAAGCGATTTGGAGGAAAAGATACCAGTTCAGAAAAGCACGGCCGGGAAAAGAGGCCGAAAGCGTTAGTAGATAACAAAGGGGATGATGGGTGGAACATGGACAGCAAAGAACAAAGGGGGCCTTTGTCGCATTCGGAGGGGCTAGTTAAAGCTGCATGGAATACCTAGGTAGGGATGATTGGTTGCAAACATACCATTTTCGTCTCAATCATAGGATGAATGAATTACTTTAGCCCCAGAAAGAAAAGCATAAAGAATCTATTATGAGATCTGCTTCTCAAGACCCACAAGACCTGTCTCGATACACCATGGCTAGGGGAGGAGAGAAAACTCGGGACCTCGAGCCTACATGATGAAAAGACTTTGGTAACTTGGTATAAGTTCAGGATACCTTTTGCTGAGTTTAATTTTGATACCTTCTTTCAGTTAAGGTCTGATGTTTTGTTCTCTGAGGCATGTCTTATAGCTTCTGAGTACTAATGTAGTCAGGGCGTGTCTTTCTTCTTTCTTGTAGCCTCTTGAGAGTCCACAGCAGTGAGCTGTTTCACCATACCTATTGACCAGGCCTGAGTCACTGCCCGGATCTCTAACGTCAGAGGGCGTGATTGGATCCAATCTCTTAGGGGTACAAGTATCTATACTTTGAGCACCCATCTAAAACCGCGACTGGTTTCCACTTTACACCAAAAACTCGTGTTTAGTCAGCCCTCGAGGACGTGCAGCAAAGTAGCTCTACTCGTGCATGCAACAAGCCTCAGGCAACACTCTGAGCTCAGGGAGGCCAAAACAGGCTTAGCGCATAACTGCTGCCAGCCGTTCTCAAGTCCAGAATCTTTCAGGCTTCCCCCGACCTGCTCGCCTTAACCACGACAAAACTTTGCCTACAACACAAAGTCATCACATCGCGCGTCGGGCATCGCGCGCATCCCATCGTAACAGCTTACCTACCGACTACGAACGATCGACGATATCGCCGACCGCGATTCTTCGAGTTTCTGCAACCTACAAGGTGGCGGCGACGGGGGAGACCAGCCTGAGGTTCACCTGAGCCAGTGGCCAGGACAGGCGTTGCTGTTCATCGCCCATCAAGCAATCGCATTTGAGAGAATTTATTATCGACTTTACAGCCTTGCGCGACCAAAAACCTTTTTAATAGCATCTTTTCGCACTTTTCTTCTACTTCTCGCGTTTCTTTGCGTTCCGGCGCGCGTTTGGATCTCTACTCTCGCTTCTCGCTCCTTTCCACTCCACGCCAGAACAACCACATATCGCCACCATGGCCAACCTTTACTTCACCCACTCGAGCGCCCCGCTCAAGACGGTGGAAGAGATTCAGTTCGGTCTGATGTCTCCCGAGGAGATCAAGAACATGAGTGTCTGCCACATTACTTATCCCGAAACGATGGAGGAGAACAAAACAAAGCCTCGTGACGGTGGCCTCAACGACCCGCTCCTCGGATCGATCGATCGACAATTTCGTTGCAAAACCTGCACACAAGCAATGGGCGAGTGCCCTGGCCACTTCGGTCACATCGAACTGGC